GAGCTGAGTATTTTATACTCAGATTATGACGTCACTACTTGTTTACTTTTGTAAAAAGTTATCACATGTCAACATAGGTTCATAACCCCACTTTGGATTAATTTTACGAGACCCAGAGAGGTTAGTTTTATATTTTTGCTAAATATATATAATATATGTAATATATATTTATATTACAATGTTATAAATATATTTTATGATTTTTTCTTTACGTTGTCAACATTACATAATTCATTCACTTCCTACAACTTTTGCTTTGCGTACAATTCCCTAACCCATGCGCACAATTACGCGACGCGTGACAAATTTTTTCGCTTTTCCGTTTTTTCCTTTTTGCCAAATAAAACCTTATTGAATGAAAATCTGTTCAATATAAGAATACGTAATAGTAGGAGAATGTTTATAGTTTCTATTTCCCTATTTATATCGCTTTGAACTTAGAAAACCATCCCAGAAATACAAATATCCCTTAGGTGCGCACAATTCGCCCACTTTCCCCTATCTTTAAAGTATTTTTACAATTTTAAAAGATCTTTAAGTATTTCAGACTATAGACATTTTGACGGACTTGTCAATAAAAAGTAGCATATGAAGTAAATATATAAATATACTAACCCAATGATAGCTCCTGAAGTCAGAGCACTTAAGATATTAACATGCTGCAAATAATTTATCACAAATGGAATATAGATACAAACGATATTGAAATGTTTATAATAATAAGAAATTAAAAAAAAACTGCAGACTGCATTGTCGACAAAAACGAGTACAATCCATCCGATTATTATTCGAATTATCCAATTACGCAGACATTGATATTCCTTTGGCATTCCAAGTGCTTCCAATGTATCGTCCACTATGGAGAGTTTACGTAAGCATACTTTTAATTCCTTTAAAAAATTGTATTGATCGATTACGCAATTTAAAAAGAAATTATTATAATTTTGTATTTGAATAAGAATTGTTATTACAATATGTAAAAAATATGATAGATAAAAAAGTTATAAGAAATTTAATTAGTGTTTTTGAAATATAAGATTTACAAAAGGTATGTTAAAAGCTAATTTAAAAAAGTAATATAACACAAATATTAATTTTATCAAACATCCTCTACAATAAATAATAATGTAAACATTAAAATTTCTCCAAAAACTTTTTATAAATCTGTATTTGCCTATAATTATGAGAGCTTCTTTAATACTCTCAATAAAGGAAGTGATTAAACAACAATTAAAAAATATTAAAAGTCAAGTAATATTAGAGACTGAAGTAGTATGTTTTAAAATTCTTACCTTAATACGAAACAAGCTAACAAGTATCGATGTAATAGTGATGATCATTATTAGAATATTCCGCCAGGTTATGTACAATGATATTACAGTATGACCGTTGTAGCGTAAATAATAAAGGAAATACACAGAAAGGCTCCATGTGGTTAAGAAATGCAGATAAGAAAGATACGGCTTAGGTTGTCCAAGAGGATATTCAAACAAGCTCAAATTGTAGAACGAGCCGATGATTAATAATGGTGCCAATGCTGTCTGTATCGTCTTCGTCATTGATTCTGAATTGTGAGCTAATAATTTGAATTAATTCTTGGCGCACGAAAAACAAACGCGTTTTAATACTTTTTATAGGAATTTCAGAAGTAGTTTATTTTTGCATATCCTCTAGAACTTTGTGAGAATTACACTGTAAGAAATGTATATTGAAGGATAAAATATGTATATGCCAACTTGCAAGTATTGAGCGACAGAAAAAAATATACAGATAATATAGATTAGTTAAAGTTGATTATTTCGATAAGATGTTTTATAAGTATATAGAAGTTATTGCGCACAATATAATATATCGTAAACTAAAAATACGTAAAATTATTCTTGTAATAATATAATTTATTAATATATACATAAAACTAACAGTAAGTGTTTAGTTTTAATTGTATTATTGCATTTAATTATATATATAATTATGTATGCATATATATGTATCTTTATAATGTTCATTTTTTTAATATTAAAAGAAATATATATATATATAATAATTGATTGCAGGTAGAATTTAATTTAAGTTGATTTTTGCCTTCTATCTTTTTACTCACTGTTAAAATTCAGCTATCCATATATTGAATGAAAAACAAAAATAGCACAAAAATTGACTTATATGTATAAATTTAAATTATGGAAAAGAAGCGAAACTTTAATGTAATATAATCTGTTATTACAAGACATCGGGCCTGGTTGTCGTATGGAATTAACTGTCAAAATGTTAAAAATTCAATCATATGGCAGTATATGGCAGAACATTTTGATTTTGTTTTTGTGGATTGTTGATGTAATATTAAATTGTTGTGTAAAATGGTTTGCACCAAAAACATCGTGTATATTATTTATAACGACTTTTAAGAAAATAAAGTTCATGAGTAAATTTTTCTTATTTCCTTTTTTGTGTTTATATTAATTTTTGACATTACCAATTGCGATTTAATTGTAATCGTAGAAAATAATATGCTCTCGATTAGTTAATTATTATTGCTACGAAGTTTGTTAATACAATCTCTTTTACTAAAAACTATATGTAATAAATAAACAAAGTTTAGATAGTCAACTTTAATATTGTTTAGTTTTCCTACTGAACAATATAACTATAATAGATCGACATATTTTTAAAGCATGCTTACGAATATAATATTTGATACATATCAAATGACGCGGTAGCGGTGCCATGTCATGTAAAGATATAGAGAAAAAATCGAAAAAGCCATGAATTAGAGTTCTATGAGAATTCTTTATCGGAGTGAATATTGGAACTCTAGAAAATAATATGTATATATATATTACAGCAAAAGTGTTACTAACCATAATAATTATCGATAAGTCGATCTTAAATTTTTTAAAATGTAGTCACATTTCAAAAGTGATATATAAACGTAAGGCAATCATAATAATAAAATATAGAATATGGTAAGACAATGTCTCGACCGACTTTAAAAATATTATATCTAAACACTATATCTGAATAAGCATAATGCGATTTAAAGCAATCGCCTATGACCGCGCTTGAATATTCTTCTTGACAATTTTTTCGCAAAATTTAACTTGGGAAATCGTGTCGAAATATTAAGTATTCGTCATAACACTGCAAAACAATGAAGATTATTTTGACGTGGCCCGAAGGTTTGTATAACAATAACTCTACTAGTACTTATGTAAATTAAAAGTATCGATTTGCTAAAAAGAAACCCAGACAGTCACCTACGTTCTGACAACGTTAGAACGATATCGCAACGTATGTTGAATACGTCGTCAAGATATTCGAGACGCGTCTGTGATGTACAGAGTATTTCTTCAGAATCTACTATGTCCGCGGTTTCTCGTCCCGTAGACTTCGCAGAGAGCTCCTAGTGATATACCGTAGTTATTCTGAGATGTATGAGTATATCTTCAATACGTCTCCAGTACGTCTCTATAGAATCCGCGTTATCATAGTGATGTATTTAGTATGTCATGTATGCATGCACATACATACACACATACATACACATATATATAAAATTTCGCGCACATGCTTGCATGCTGAACGAATTAAGTATTTGCACAGTGCAGTTGCTACTTTAAATTAGTAAATATTTTCAAAAAATCAAATTTCTTTAAAAATACTTCCTATTTTATAGTAGCAACTGCATTGTGCAAATACTTATCATTTATTCAGCATGCTCGATTCATTATGCTCGTGCTTAATCTCGTGGCTCACATGCCTGCACACCATGACACCTTCTTTTTCTTCTTCAAAATTGATGGCACTCGCCGCAAAAATGGCGACGATTCCGGCCAGAATCGTAAATAAATCGTGTAACCAAAGTATGATACATCGGTCACCTCAAACCGATGAATGGGACGAAATAATGATGTAATCAAGACAAATGATGTAACACAATGCACAGTCGAAGCCAGAAACGCTTTTCAAAAATGGGTGAGATGATGCAATACCCGAAGCGGGCGTAACGTACGTCCATCCCGCTCGAATGGTCTCGCGAGACTCACACCATGACTGCCATAACATGATGACCATGGTGTAATAAAGAAGGTGTGTTCTAGCGCAGCCATTTGCTTCAGCCAATGAATGGAGGTCACAGCTTTCGGCCATTTTCTCGCGCCAATTT